TCTCTCTCTCTCTCTCTCTCTCTCTCTCTCTCTCTCTCTCTCTCTCTTTCTTTCTCTCTTATCTCTCTCCACTATCTTACTATATAGCCCAGACTGACCTCAAACTTAAAAGGATTAGCCTGCTTCTACCTCCCAAGTGCTGGGATTAAACACATGTACCACCATGCCTCCACTTAAGTGGTAGTTTCTTATACAATTTGGTAGGAATTAGGAAATGACTATTCACATGCTATATTCTATTTTTGCTGTGATAGCTTTTTAAAGATATATTTGGGAGTATACTGGCTAGTTGCATAGTTTGACATCAGCTAGAGTCATTTGGGAAAGGGAGCTTCAATAATTAAAATGCCCCCACCAGATTGGCCTGTGGGGAAGCCTATGGGGTCTTTTCTTGCTTGCTTGATAACTGGTCCTGGATGCTATATAAAAGCCAGGTAAGCAAACCCTCAGCAGTGTTCTCCTGTGGCTTCTGCTTCCATTACTGCCTCCAGGTTCTTGCCCTGCCTTGATTTTCTTCATGATGGACTGTAATCTGTGAGATGAAATAACCCTTTCCTCCTCAAGTTGCTTTTGGTCACGACATTTTATCACAGCAATAGGAAGTAAGACACAGGTGTTCCTTAAGATCTACTTCCATGCAATTTGGATTTGTTAGGACAGCCAGGACCTGGCATGTAGTTGTGTTCACAGCTAAGATTATTACACACAAAGGACAAGAATAAAAATCAGCAAAAAGTAAAAGGTATAGTGTGAATTTAAAAAGAAACTGCATGTGGCTTCTAAGAATCATCTCATTGTGAAGTCACAGGCTGTGCCTAATTCCCTTAGTAACAGTGTATGAGCACGTGTGACATGGTGACTGCTGGGCAAGCTCCTTAGCCACTCAACACTCTGCGTTTCACTGGGGTTGACCATATAGAGGCCCTCTGCCAGCTACATAACAAACTTCTAGGCTCCCCAAGGAAAGAGTGCTCAGCACAAGCTCCTGTGTATAAACAGGCAGAGTGTGGCACTTTTACCAGCTCCGTCATAGTATGAGAGTCTTCTCCAGACTTCCAAGTACAAAGGGCCACACTCCCAGGCCTGCTATGTTACCTTTCTTCTGTAAAAGTTTTCCGTTGAGATTATGTAAGTTCTGACTAAGGAATCATGTTTATTGCCTTTGGTGTTCAATTCTTTATGAAGTTTAATTTATTTCTCAGAGTGAGGTATAGGAATGGTTAACCAGTTGAAGGTTTACCAGTTGAGGGGCTGACAAGATTGCTCAGGGAGTAAAGATGCTTGCCATCAAGCCTGCTGACCACAGTTCAATCTCTGGACTCCACACAGTGGAAGGAGTGCCCATAACACACAATGTAAACAAAATGTAATTAAACCAGTTGCTTGCTTTTGATGACTGACAACTACTGCAGTGCCTGACTTGTCACATCACAGTTGCTTTAATAATGGTGAAACTGCCCTTGAGGTGATTAAAAATCCATCCATTGGGAGATCAAGTAAAATGATAGCTTCTTATGGTCTAATTGATCTGTTCTTCAAAGACTTGCCTCTCTTGTTTGTTTGTATTTTTGGTTTTTGAGACAGGGTTTCTATCTATAGGCTTGACTGACCTGGAACTCTCTCTGTGGACCAGGCTGGCCTCGAACTCAGGGATCCACCTGCCGCCTCTGCCTTCCAAGTGCTGGGATTAAAGGCATGTACCACACTGCCTGTACTTAAATTCTTTAAGTTCAAAGTGATAGTAAGATGGTAACCAACAGAAATGACATCTAGTTATTTGCATAAAGATTAATTTTAAAAATTATGAAAATCAATATACATAGGCTAGATGTAGTGGTACATTTATAATCCTAGCACCTAGAAAGCTAAGGCAGGACAATTTTAAGTTTAGACCAATCTAGGCTGTAAAAGGAATAAGGCATTAAACTAAAGATTCACCGCTTCATTTATTCAAAAAACTGCTTTAGTCAATAATTATTAATCTAGTAAAAGTGTAAGTTAAGTTATTCAATAAACATTGACCCAAAGTTAAATTTGAACTTACTAAGTAAACATTCCAGTAAACTTAGAATGACTGTCATCTTTCTTTCTTAGTAATTTCTCAAAAAACTGCTTTGTATCCATCTCATTTATACATGATGTATACTGTATTTATCACATAGCTTAAGCTCTGAAAGAGTAAGTCTGGAGTCCTGAGTGCTTTGTTTTGGTGTTAATTAAAAATAACCAAATATCATGAGATTTGTTGTTCTTGGCTTCAAAAACAGATCAAATAGATGAAAACCTGAAGCAGGCCCTGCAGAAAGATTTAAACACCATGGCCCCAGGTCTCACTATCCAGGTAAGCTACTTCCTGAGCTTTCTGGGGAAGCTTCTAGAGCTTCCAATTGAATGCTTGTATGTGACTAGTTATGCAGCTACTTAACCAAATCACTGTGGTAATTTGGCTTTACCTCCTTGCAGAAATGAGAAGCATGCTGAGTGGAATTTTCTTGTAAGTTTTTAAGAAGACAATTTAAGGCTCCTAGGAGGAGGAGAGGAACTAAGTTCATACTTCTACCAACTATGAGTTATTTTTAAACACAGTAATGGTTATTAATCAGTATAAAAGTATATCATGCCTTCAATAACATCATGAAGAAGTTCAGATGTAAGAATTAAACAACAGTTCTAAACCAAATAGGTGTCACAGGGTGTTAGTTCACAGATAATTTATTGGGGGATAATTGCTCTAAGAGTGTTGTAAGAGTAAGAGGCTATTTCAAGAGAGCATGCTAAAGACTTTGATCCAATTGAGATTTTGGTTAAATCTGGAAATTTTCGTTAAATTTTATGAAAAAAAGGAAAAAAGTATTTCATGCCAGGCATGTGTTACTCAGATGCAGCTGAAATCTCAGTGACTACTTAGAATTCCCTTCTTCATATTACTTCGCCATTTCTCTGTTCCCAGCTATTTATTAAGCAGCATTAGTATTATGAACCACGACATGTTCTCCTTATAGAAAAATTGTTTTTAAAGAGACTGCACACGTGCACACTTACTAGCAGTGCCACTATGACGTCACTGGCATTGGATGCAGTGAAATATATGCTGGCTTCCCTCTGGAGAGAGATGGGAAGTCTTCTCTTTTTGATCTGCATTACTTTGGTTATTAATGAAGCTGAACATCTTTTGATATTTTTTAATGCTCGTCTTCTGCTAGTGGTTGCTTCATATCCTTTACCCATTTTCTGGTAGTTTTTTTTTTTTTAAGCCTACTGTTGTGTAGTGGTTCTGCATAAGTTCTAGATATTTTTATACACAAACTGGACATTGTTGTTTCTACTAATAATTTCTTTGGCTGTTGGTGGCAGGATGGGAGAGATTTCTTCCATATGAGATTTAGGCATTGATTTAAATTTGTGGATTAATTTAGTGACATAGCCATTTCCACAATGTTAATTCTCCCAGTCCATGAGCAGGGGAGGTCTTTCCACCCTCTAATGTTCTTTAGTTACTTTCTTTAGTGTCTTAAGTTTTCACTTCTTTGCTAGGTTTATCCTTAATTTTGGCTTGTTTTGTTTTATCCTGTTAGACATGTTATCCCATGCCTCCTCCCCCAATTTCTTTCTTGAGAAATTCATTATTGGTATATAGAAAGCATAATGAGTCTTGTATATCAATTTTGTATCCTGCTTCTTTGCTAAAATGTTTATAAGGCCTAAGAGTTTCTGAGAGTCTTTAAAATCTTTCAAATATAGGTTGAGTATTTGACTTCTTGTTGATATCTGTTTGTTAAGGATAACACATTAATAAAGGAATTCTAAGAAGAAAGTTATGACTTGGAGCACTATACTGAGTAAGGGCGTAGAGTGGGTCCCCATGTCTCAGTGTATTTTCTCTATTTGTTGGGTGGATGTCTTACAGAACTGTTCAGTTCATTAGCCTAGTTGTTGATTAGGTGATCTGCTGTGAATTGCTTTGTTTTGGTTTAATGTGTGTGGGTGTTTTATATGTATGTCTACACCATGTTTCTGCCTGGTGCCCTCAGAGGCCAGAACAGGGCATCAGAGCCCCTAGAGCTAGAGTTGGATGAATGTTAGCTGCTATGTGGTGGCTTCTGTCCCTGGTGGTATACCTTTTATCTCTGTCGCTTACCAGAAGTGAAGAAGTTGGATTCCTTGCTGTATTCTCACAGCAGACTTCTTGGTCCTCTGGCTCCTACCATCTTTCTGCTCCCTCTTCTGCAATGCTCCCTGAGCCTTGGGTGTGGAAATTACTTTGTAAATGTATCAATTGGTCCTGGACACCCATGATAAGTTTCTCTTTGCCCTTTGACCAATTGTGGCTCTCTGTAATTGTCTGCTCCAAAGATAAGTCTTACAACATTTTAGTGGCATCTTGCATTGTGTAAGGCTAATTTAGATAACATTAAGAAACCATTACTTTACATTAATATTTTTATGATGTTCCCAACTGTGTACATTTAACTTTAAAGTGGTACATAGTCTACCAATGGTAATACTTGAAAAAAATATACAAGCCTCAAATGACAGGTGGCTTAGTTTTTGACATTCTAAATTCTAAAGATCAGAAATTAATGAGAAGCTATGCTGAAGTGAATACATATCAAAACATTATAGAAGTATGTTAATTTTGCTAATGTGATGTAATGATTTCCTAGAAGTTTTTATGAAAAGTATTTAGAGAATGCCTACTGCATATCAACCATCATTCTTGACAAAGACTACAAATCACAGATGAGTCAGCATCTGTTAAACTCATCTAACATTAGTTCTCTTTCTTTTATTTTTTTCCTGGCCAAACTTTTGGCTTCAGCAGAAGTGTCTCAAACCAGAAATGGTTAACTCTTGATGAAAGCAATCTTATGGTTTCTCTAGAGGTTCATTCAATAAATTTCTGACAGAGATAAATGTGAAGAATTAAAATGTACAAAGTGTCATGCTTAGTATGTACAATAAGAGTGAAAATTTTTGGAGACAATATTATTTTAATATTTGCCCCAAGTCTATGCAATATAATTTGTTGTTCTATATTTAGTGGTTTTATATTAAAATTTCTATATCATAAGTGAACAATCAATCCACTAACAATGATATGAGTAAACATGTTAAGTTACAGAAAAATTAAAATTTGTGCTTATACTTTCTTATCATTTAATTTTTTCCATGAGGACAGTGTTTATACAACTTTACTGCTAGAGCATTCCAGTGTTTCCAAGAGCTAGCTACATATGAGTCAGAGTAAGCATGATTTAATAGCCACATTGACAAGATAGCTAAATTTTTGCTATGAAGATGGAAGTCTTTGATTCATATGGAATTTGTTTTAGCATTAAATTATGAGGTAGGGCTTTAATTCCTCCCTATCCCAACTGGGTGGTGACATTTCAAAGCTCCCCCCTTTTGTACTTCATTTTCTGCCAGCAGCAAAGATTTCTTGAATTTATTTATATTTATTTTTGAATTTAAGAAATCATATAAGCCAGGCAATGATGGCGCACGCCTTTAATCCCAGCACTTGGGAGGCAATCTTACATCTGATAGAGGGCTAATATCCAATATATACAAAGAACTCAAGAAATTAGACTCCAGACAACCAAATAACCCTATTTAAAAATGGGGTATAGAGCTTAACAAAGAATTTTCAACGGAAGAAACTCAAATGGCCGAGAAGCACCTAAAGAAATGTTCAGTATCCTTAGTCGTCAGGGAAATGCAAATCAAAACAACCCTGAGATTCCATCTCACACCAGTCAGAATGGCTAAGATTAAAAACTCAGGTGATAGTAGATGCTGGCGAGGGTGTGGAGAAAGAGGAACACTCCTCTATTGTTGGTGGGACTGCAAGATGGTGCAACCACTTTGGAAATCAGTGTGGCGGTTCCTCAGAAAATTGGACATAGCATTACCTGAGGATCCAGCTATACCACTCCTAGGCATATACCCAGAAGATGCTCGAACATATAACAAGGACATATGCTCAACTATGTTCATAGCAGCCTTATTTATAATAGCCAGGAGCTGGAAAGAACCCAGATGTCCTTCAACTGAGGAATGGATTCAAAAAATGTGGTATATTTACACAATGGAGTATTACTCAGCTATTAAAAACAATGAATTCGAGAGTTTCCTAGGTAAATGGATGGAACTAGAAATTATCATCCTGAGTGAAGTAAGCCAATCACAAAAGAACACACATGGTATTCACTCACTGATTATTGGATATTAGCCCAGAACCTTGAAATGCCCCAAGATGCAACTCACAGGCCACATGAAGCTCATAAAGAAGGAAGACCAAGGGGGGGGGCAGGTGATTCAGTCCTTCTTAGAAAGAGCAACAAAATACTCAAGGGAGCAAATATGGAGACAAAGTGAGGGACAGAAACTGAAGGAGGGGCCATCTGAAGACCTTTCCACCTGAGTATCCATCCCATGTGCAGTCACCAAAGGTAGATGCTGATGTGGAAGTCAGGAAGTGCATGCTGATAAGAGCCTGATATGGATGTCTCCTCAGAGGCCTTCAAGAGTCTGACATATTCAGAGGCAGATGCTCACAACTAGCCATTGAACTGATAATGGGGTTCTCAATGGAGGAGTTAGAGTGAAGGCCATTGGAGCTGAAAGGGTTTGTGACCCCATGAGGAGAACAACAATACCAACCAACCACAGCTCCCAGGGTCTAAACCACCAGCCTGGGAGCACTTAGGGAGGGATCCAGGGCTTCAGCTGAATACGTAAGAGTGGAGGGCCCTGCTGGGCATAGGTGGAAGAAGAGATCCTTGACCTCATGAAGGCTGGACACTCCAGGGTGTGGGAATTTTGAGGGTGGGGAAGTGGGAGTTGGGGGGTAGGTAGGGGTTAAGTTACATCCACAGAGAAGAAGGAGGAGGGGTAAGGGGATAGGGGGTTCCCGGGTGGGTGGGGGATGGGGTAAGGGGACAACATATGAAATGTAAATAAAACATCCAATAAAAAAATTAAAAAAAAAAAAGAAATCATATAAGCCAGGCAATGATGGCGCACGCCTTTAATCCCAGCACTTGGGAGGCAAAGGCAGGCTTGGATTTCTGAGTTCAAGCCCAGCCTGATCTAAAGAGTGAGTTCCAGGACAGCCAGGGATACACAAGAGAAACCCTGTCTCAAAAAAAAAAGAAAAGAAAAAAAATCATATAAACATTACTATAGCTTTGAAATTGGTATGGAGTAAATACCTAGTGAATATCTCTGCTATCAGGCAGCTCTGTCTGTAACAGCCCGTTCTTGTTTCCGTTTCCTGTCATTCTCCCCATCTTTTTTCTGGAAAAATTCTTGTGGCAAAGTAGAATAGTGAAAATGGTTATTCTTGCTTTCTGTGCTATTTAACAGAATGAGTTGATACATTCTGACACTGAGTTGAGAAAAGGTAAATTCATTCCATCAGCTTCTTCACCATTTCTCCCTCTGTGTGTACATGCATGCATGCATACATATGTGCTCCCTTGTATATGTGTTTGTTAGTCATTATTTTTTGATACATTGTCCTTTTTTCCTTAAATATCTTATGATTCATTAACTCATGGTGTCTGCTATAGTGACTATGATGTCTCCCAAGATTGGCAAGCTTGTAGCATGTTCTGCCTCAAACATCAAATTCTTTAAAAGATCCACTATGAAAATCTCAGAATGAAACCAATTATTTGTACAATTACTATACATATATATACACACATACACACAAAAGGTTTTCTTATTTTATGCTTTGTATAAGGCTGAAAAGATAGTTCACAAGTCTTTAAATATGGTATGCTTATGCTTCTCTTTTAATCATAGTCATCCAGAATGGAAGTTACCTTTATGTCTGGTGTTCACACCATGAAACCTGTTATCTCATAAATTATGGTTCTAAATTTTTGACTTCTGAAATTGCCACTGAATTGTCCTTATGGCCTTGCATGCTTTACTTTGATGTTTGATATTGTCTGAAGAGCTTTATTCTATCCAACTGTGATCCTCATACTAGTCTGATAACCCTCAGTATTACCTACAGATTTGATTATTCTCTTTCACATGGGAAATGCTGTGTTGCTTAAAAGTTTTGTTTTTGTTTGGTTTGTGGTTGTAAGGCCCCAACCCAAGGTCTCCCTCATGCTAAGCAACATTCTACCACTGAACTATATCCTCTTGTCCACTTAAAGATGTTTTGAATGCTAGATCTTAAAATCCTTGTGTTTGACCTTCTGAGTGGTGAGGTGTTATGGTACAGGGTCTCCAATCCACGAACTCCTCCCAGGATGGGTGAGGACCACATCTCAACCACCTTAGTTTTTGTACCTTACTAATCTCTAGACTGAGCACAGCCATATTTGCCAAGGGTTTGGGTGACCTATGGGTACCTCAAAAGGAGTTCATTGTTCCCCTCCACACCTACCTCTTATAGTCCATCAAGGCCAAGAGGACCCAGGCAATCTAAAGAGGGGCCTAGCATGCCACCTTCCTCTCCACTAAGCCCTGAAGCAGCTGTTCTACATACAGAGGAATAAGATCACAGTGGGTAATGTGCCTGTGGACCTTAGGTGAGAGGTAAAAGAATTATCTCACTGGAAATTTCAAGAAACTATATTTTGGAAAGCTACTAAGATTTATTGTTAAAAAAAAAAAAAAAAGGCGGGGCAGGGGGAGAATTATTGCACAGCATTATCCATCTCCGCATCAGATCTTCTCATGAACGTAAATAATGATGTGAGAGATTTTAAGGTGGTTGCCATTCTGTCAGTATCCATGTGATGGACTCAGTCAAGCTTATGAGCTCTGCTTTAGCATCCAAAGACTGGCTCTACCTTTGCCCAGACATTAAATGGTTTGGTTCATTTTGGCCATGGAGACTAGTCTAGATGAGCCAGACAAGATGTCCTCCTCAACTGTTCATACTGTTCAGGCTCAACAAGCCAACTCGGATAAGAAGACGACTTGGGAGTCGTTCACCATGCATTATTTCCTGGCTAACTAAGAGCCAGAGTAGCTGTGTCTGAGGCTCTTACTCTCAGAAGAACAGTGTCATCCAAGTAGCATTATGTCATGCACACTACTCATCGTTCCCTATTGTTGGTATACGGTCCCTATTGTTGGGTTCTTTGGATGTATATTTTTCTAAAGCAAATGAGTTGCTATAGAAGTCAGACAAGAAGCCCATGTACTAGGAGCCGTGAGGGGCTCTGAGGGGCACTGGTCTCTAGGGGCTTTTTTTGGGGAGCTGTTATTGAAATGTTTGACAATTATGAAGTCATTGAAAATTTCCCTGTTCTTAAGTACATTGTATAAGGACAGAGAGAGCTCTGGTAAAGCAAAGCTAAGAACCAAGCTGCCCTTTTTAAGCAGAAAGTGTGGAGGCCCTTAGACCAGTGCTTCTCAACCTTTCTAATGCTGGTAACCTTTTAATATAGTTCCTCATATTTTGGTGACCCCCCACCATAAAATTATTTCTTTGCTACTTTATAAGTGTAATTTTGCTACTGGTATGAATCATAATATAAATATCTGATATGCAGATATCTACTGTGTGACACACACACACACCCCAGTTACGACCCACAGTTAAGAACTACTGTCTTAGACTCTGTTTCTCTCTCTCTGAGGAGCCCAACCAAGGCAAACATGGCTTAACTCAAAATGCCTGCACTTCTCCAAAGAAAGATCAGTCAAATACTTGATTTTCTCCACCTCTGCCTTTAGGTTAGAGAAGATAGATCCACCAGCCTTTTGTCTAGCCAATAGTTTGGATGTTTACCACTCATTTTATGTGTTGAATTAAAAACTTAATAGGTTACAAAGTATTCTGTGTTTGTTCTTTGAAAGCAACTACCAACTTTGAAGCAGTGGCCCCTCCCTGGAGGAAACTTGAGGATATTTACAAATGTCTGGAAATATGGCTCAGAAATTGATGATCTTTGTGCCCCAACTGTAGTAGTAGGGAACTTGTATGCATTTTCACAGATAGACTGAAGAAGTCGCTTGCTTTCATCCTGTTCTGTTCTAGGTGTTTTCTCCAGTAAGTGCTAGAAGTTGACCAAAGAAGAGAGATTTTTGTTTGTTTGTTTGTTCCTTTTATTTGTAAATGAGGATGCAAGTGGCTTTCTTTCAGAGCTATGCAATGGCAGGCAGCATTTCTATATTTGGGTGTTTTGCCTTCAAATATGTCTGTGCACCACATGCATGCCTGGTACCAGGGAGGACTTCGGATACCTTGGAACTGGTTCCAGTTCTGAGCCATCCATGTGGTGCTGGGAATCAGACCTGTATTCTCTGGATCCCTTTAACCATTGAAGCATTTCTCCAGCCCTCAGAGATTGAGATTCTTAGGTCATCAGAAACTTGACAAATGCTTTCTTGTGTGTTTACGCTTGGGAACCTAACTCATGATGCTGTTTCTTAGGGTCTAAAATCCCCTTGTGATTTTTTTCTACAATGCTAGAGTCTCCTTTGATTTAGAAAACCATAAGCAAATGCATATGCATTTTTCCTAGTCTTTTAAAATAAACAGTCTTTACTTGGTCTGTACAGTGAGCTTAGCTACCAACGGAGATGTTATTTTTACTATAGACAGAGCTAAAAAGTTAACCCTGAGTGAACTGAGACAGAAAGGAGTGTTGAAAATTATCGGTTGATGAAGTAAATAGTTCAGAAAGGAAAGGCACTTACTGCCTGGAGCCCACCTGGGGGAAGGAGAGAACCTGAAAGTTCTCTTCTGACTTCTGCATACATGTACACACAGAAATAAATGTAAAAATGTCTTTTAAAAAATTGAAAGTTTTGTAAGTTAAATAAGATTCATGTGCTTAAAGGCTTTGTTACTTAAACATTTAGCCAGTTTTCAAAGAGAAATCCAATCTTGAGTTATGTGTGTGCATTATCAGTGGTAGGTGCAGGATGTTTGGTTAGCAAATGCAAAAGCTTCAGAGATAAGTTCTTAGTGTAGAAAATCAGCCTTTAAAAGCAACAGATTCCAAACAGATACTCTTAATTATGCCAAAGTCCACTGTGATTAGAACAGCAAAGTATCAGTAAAGAATGTCTACAAATACAGATAAACTTTGTTCTAAATGGACTCTAGACAAAAAGAGTGCAAGCTCTGAGTTGCTGGTTTCCTAAAGCAGTGGTTCTCAACCTTCCTAACACTTGAATACACTTCTTCATGTTGTAGTGACACCCACCGTAAAAATATTTCACTGCTACTTCATAACTGTAGTTTTGCTACTGTTACAAATCATAATGTAAAAAGTGTCTGATATATGACCCGTATGAGACTCAAAGGATATCTGATAGGCAACCCCCAAAGGAGTCGTGTCCTATAGGTTGAGAACCACTGTCCTAAAGCGTGGGGCTGCTTTTTATACATACTACCATCAGATTATAACTTTAGGAAGTGACCATTGGCTGGCTTACTGGACACAGAATTTAGTTGCACACACTGGCCTAGGATTTTCATTTGCTTTTAATATAATTTATCTCTCAGCCTAGTTCCTTTGACTGACTTCTTTGGTTTGCAAATTTGAAATGGTAAGCAAAGCTCTCCAAGGACAGGTTTGTAAACTATTTACCAAGGGGAACTTTCCCAGTTTAAGTTCTTTGAGGAGTAAAGTGGTTTTCTCTTGAGGTTAGGCACTTGACAATTGGTGTGACAACAGACTTTGTAGATTTGCTAGTGAGATCCTGGTGTAAGTTAGTGGGGAACTGTGTTACAATTGTTATTTACATGAGAGTCATTGGAGGAGCTCTGCTGTAGAAGGCGTGGTTAAAGGACTTTTTGTTGTTTTTGTTGTTGTTACCTTCTATTTGAAGTTTTATTGTTCTTAGGTAAGTCTGTCTGTGTAGCCCAAAGTGACCTTGAACTCCCTTCCAATCCTCCGCTGTCTTCTTCTACGTGCTTAGATTATATATGTGTATGCCTAGTTTGAATATTTACTTTTCATATATATTTTGGCTTTTCACTTTTTTTTTTTTTTAAGGCTGTGCGTGTTACAAAACCCAAAATCCCAGAAGCCATAAGAAGAAATTTTGAGTTAATGTGAGTACCACTCATGGGGTCCTAATATTTCTATTTAGAAATATTTACGTATTAATATAACAGTCCAGGGGAAAGATGGAAAACGCTTAATCTGGGATTGGATAAATAGCTGTTTTCTTCTTCTTTTTTTTTTTTTTTTTTTTGGTTTTTCAACACAGGGTTTCTCTGTGTAGTCCTGGCTGTCCTGGAACTCACTCTGTAGACCAGGCTGGCCTCAAACTCAGAAATCCGCCTGCCTCTGCCTCCCAAGTGCTAGGATTAAAGGTGTGTGCCACCACTGCCCAGCTTTTTTTAATTTTTTTTTTTTTTTAGCTGTTTTCTCTATGTTAATAATATTACCTTTTGTATCTTAATTCCCAGTAAATTCTTACTAGATTTCTCTTTATGTATGGACGTTTCCAAAGCAGTGCTCAAAGATGCAGTTTGTTGTGAAATGATTACTGAAGATACAAGGCACTATAATCTATATATAAATAGAGCCTTGAATGAAATATTAATAAAACAGAGAATCCTGTTAATGTTGAAAAGAATGTCCTTTTTGTTACCTTGTTATAAAGATAAAGTCCCAGGGAATTCAGTGCCCTCTTCTGGCCTCCATGGCCACTGCAAACAGATGCTGCACAGACAAGCAGGCAGGCGAAACACCCGTACATAGTTTTAAAGGAGGAAAAAAAATCTTTTTTTAATGAATAGATACTTAGTTGGTATAAAGCTTAGGGATTTTTTTTTCATTATTTGTGATAATTGTAGGGAGGCTTTGCCTGAGTTTGAGTTGACTACTAAGTCTTTTTTCTTTTTAATGTGTCTAGAACTGGAAAGAAGTTACTTGCCTGACATGGGATTAGTTTCTAAGTGTTTTAAAGGACCCCTTTATGATAATACTTAAAATATTTGAAATAGAAATATTCTCAGAGTGCATATGAAAAGAACAAACATGTTTAGAAATTTTGGCTGTTAGGAGGAAAATAAATTCTAAATGAAAAATAACTAAAAATCAGGACTATGATAGATGAGGGCTGGGGATTGACTCATGGCAGAGTGCTTACCTGACATGGACAGGGCTAGTACACACACACACACACACACACACACACACACACACGCAGAGGTGGGGGAGAGGCAGGAAGAGAGAGAGAACAAGAATATCACAAGTGTATTGATTCAGGGTCCAAGGGAATAGAAATACTGCTCTGTAGTGTAATAACCCTGAGTCCTTTTTGTTTCTAGTCAGTCATTTGTTGTGCAGAGTTTTATTTCCTCTGTTTGATTGTAGAGCTATGCTTTAAAACTATAAAGCATGAAGTGTCAAGCCGAGTGGTAGATTATGAATCTGAACTGCTAATAGAAATAAGTTTTTCAAGGATCAGGAAGGTATCTTAAACTTTAGATATGATTGTTTCCACTAATAGATGAATCATATGGGTTCTCTCCTTCCTCCCTCCATCTCTCACTGCCCCGTCCCCCTCCTGCCATCTCTCACTGCCCCCTCTCTCCTTATTCAGAATGGTCATATACAGGATAAGCTTGAGTTACACTCTCAAACCTGCATGTTACTGTACTGTATCCCCAGGACCACAAAGGAGGAAAGGTGGTGGGAAGAAGGGAAAGGCAGAACCTTTTCTGATTTGTATGTTTTACTTCACAGGGAGGCAGAGAAGACAAAACTCCTTATAGCTGCACAGAAACAAAAGGTTGTGGAGAAAGAAGCTGAAACAGAGAGGAAAAGGGCTGTTATAGGTACTTGGCTTTATTTGTGAAATGAATGACTCTGACTATAGGTGTTGTGACTTTGTCCTGTTCTTCAGCAATTTCATGTTGGACAGTGAGAGGACATAAGACAGAATTATGTGTAGTGAAGAATTCTGGAACCTTCATTGTACATTCAGATGTCCTTAAACCTTTAAAGTAAGTGAAGCCAGTAGGTCATGAAGTAGCCTGACTTGTTTTCAGTTTATGGTATAATTTCACTCTATGAGCAGGAATCCGTTCATTCGGTGAACTCCTGCTAAAGAGTGTGTTCTAGTGTGTTCTTACTACAGCACTACTGTGTGCTGACTGCCTTTTCAGTGTCTCTGTGCACACATACAGGAGCTTCCTAGAGCAGCATGCCTCAGTGGAAGGTGTGGGACTGGCCTGTACCAGATCTTTCTTCTAAGCCATAATGAAACTGTCCAACTCCTGAGAGAATTTAAGAAATTCTTAAGGCATTTTCACACAGTTAATTTTTTTGTAAGTTTTACTTTTTATTAATTATTTTATTTATTTACCTTTCAAATGTTGTCCCCCTTCCTGGTCCCCCCTGCACAAACACCCCACCTCCTCACCCCTCCCCTTTGCCTCTGAGAGGGTGCTCCCCCACCAACCCACCCACTCCCACCTCACCTCTCTAGCATCCCACTTCTCTGGGGCATCAAAGCTCCATGGGGCCAAGTGCATTGCCTCCCACTGAGGCCAGATAAGGTAGTCCTCTGCTACATATGTAGAGGGAGCCATGGACCGGCCCATGTATGCTGGCTTAGTCCCTGGGAGCTCTGAGTGGTCCAGTTCCAATAATTCATTTTTATTATAGTTTGTAATCTGTTGGTTCATAATCGATTGAATGAAATTCAAGGAAAAGGTACTTTGGGGTAGGTCGTTGAGAAGCACTGTTGTAAAAAACATCCCTCAGGGTGCAGTTGCTGAGTCCAGTGTATGGGTGAGTGTGTTCAGGTTTCTCTTGCTCTCCAACTGGTCCCTCCCTGGTTCTTCCAACTCAGCTGTCTTCAGCAGAGTTTGAGTTCTGGGTTCTGTACTGCTATGCTGAGTTCTCCTTTCTCTGTGTCCTCCTTGCCCCTTGGAGTTGCCAGATTTCAAACATGTGAGCCAGTTCAGTGATGGACAGAGAATCACATAATTTCAACTTTAATATCCCAGATTTTTGGAAATTGTTTATTGGATTTAAGGGTTAAAGTAAACCCTTTAAGGTTTACTGCCTTTGAGTATCTTATGCCAGTTCTCTGATGGCTTTTTCGAACTGATTATAGTGTTCTTTGTATTTTTTGAGTACTTTTGATCCTTCCCCAGATTCATGCCTTGCAAATGATCTTTTCGTGATTAGTGGCTTATCTTTAAATTGAAGTATCTTTAAGATACAGATATTTGATTTCACATAGTTCATCACAAACCTAGTGGTTTGTGTCTTACTTTGTATACCAGTTCTTTTGCCTCCACCAGTATCATTTATTCTAAACATTTAAAATTCTTCTTTTTGTGTATGGGCCTTTCATTCACAAGGGACTTAGGTTAATGTTAATGTGACAGAGATTTGGCTTTACTTCTTCCAAATGGCAACCCAGTTATCTCAGACTATTGAGTAGTTGATTACTTCCTCTTTTTGAACGCCATTCATGTTATATAATAAGATATTACATGTCATTTGTTCTGATGCTAAGATCTCTGTTTTAACTCTTTGTTCTGACTTCACAGTTACTTCTTGCTGCTGGAGTTTTTCCTTAGCTGTTTCTCTTGGCTGTAATTTTTAGCTATTCTTAATTATTCTGAAATTAGTTTGGACTAACTAGGCCCTGTATTCAGCCAGGAGACTATAAGGACCAGCCCACTTCTGTAAAATACTGTCAGGATTTTTGTTGGAACTATGTTGAATGTGCACTGATTTGGAGAGAATGGAAATATTTATGATACCGGGTGTCTTAGTCAGGGTTTTTATTCCTGCACAAACATCATGACCAAGAGGCAAGTTGAGGAAGAAAGGGTTTATTCAGTTTATACTTCCAGGTTGCTGTTCATCACCAATGGAAGTCAGGACTGGAACTCAAGCAGATCAGGAAGCAGGAGCTGATGCAGAGGCCATGGAGGAGGGATGTTACTTGTTGGCTTGCTTCCCCTGGCTTGCTCAGTTTGCTTTCTTATAGAACCCAAGACTACCAGCCCAGGGATATGGTACCACTCACAAGGGACCCCCCCCTCCCTTGATCACTAATTGAGAAAATGCCTTACAGCTGGATCTCATGGAGGCGTTTCCTCAACTGAAGCGCCTTTCTCTGTGATAACTGTAGCTTGTGTCAAATTGACACAGAACCATCCAGTATACTGGGTCTTTCAAATCTCTTCTATTTATTAGAAATGTGTTTTAAGGAGTATCATGATGAAAGATTAAGGAGCTGACTTAGGGTGTAAAGTGTAAGCAATTGTGAAAACCAGGCACACATAAAAACATGGAGTAGGCTTGGTGACCCACCTGTAATCTCAGCCTCACTAGGCATAGACGTGCTCCCCAGAGCAAGCTGGCAGCAAGAGTTTATAGACAAGTTCTGGTTTTATTGACAAATAAAAGGGAAGACTCAGAGGTGACTCCTGGTATCAGCCTCATCCTCCATGTGCTGTGCACCTACATGCATGTGTTCTATGTGTGTGCCCACACATGAAAACTGGAAAAGGTACAGTATTCTTAAAGTCCCTGCTATTTGCTAGAAATTCATTCCATTAGTACCCGGTGTGGTGATGCACACCTTTAGTCCTAGTACTGGGGAGGCAAGGCCAGCCTGCTCTACAGAGTACATTCCAGAACAGACAAATCTATAGAAAAACTGCCTCAAAAGAGAAAAAAAAAGAAAGAAAGAAAGAAAGAAAGAAAGAAAGAAAGAAAGAAGAAAGCAGTTCATTCCCGTGTAGCCCTTAAAAAAATTTTTGTTTCTGCAATAAGTACTCTTCTACGAAGGAACTTTTTCTAGCTTGTCATTGTTTTTGTGTATATAGCCATTGGTTTTTAGTTAGCAACAGAGCTGAAGATGCTAGTATCCATAGTGATATCTTTGGTTCTCCTGTGAGGAATTGTATTGTTTTTAGATATCAGTAATTCTACTTTCTTCTGCATAGAAACATCACACCTTTCATTTTCTCTTGCCTCACTGCTTTAAACTTCAGCCTCCAAAAGTAGCAGTAGCAGGCATTTTGTGGCTATAGTTCCAGTAACAATTGCTGTCTTAGCATCTGCTATTCAATGAAGTTTCCTTCTGTTCTTTGCTTGCCAAGGGCCCTCATTAAGAATTACTGAAATTAAATTATTGAGTTGATTTTTAAGCTGCTAATATGGTGAATTGTATTGTTAGATGTTATATTACTGGATTTTTTTGTGTGTGTGTTACTGTATTAAACCTACTCAGTCATTATGTGGAAGGTTCACCATAATTTCTTGTAAGACTTACTAATAATTTTTAAAAATTTTTACTTTTGTTTCTTATGAGATCACCCTACAGTTTTCTTATAGACTCTTACCATGTTTTGCTTATTTGTATTTTGTTTGGTGTTAGGATTTGCTGTTTGTTGTGTGCCGTGTTTCTCCCAACTGCAAAATAAATTGAAGAGCATTTATTTCTCAGAGCATTTGTGTTTGGTGCATATTGTTTCCTTTCTGTGGGTTTCATGGAACCCATACAACGTTCTGCTTTACTGTGGTTGGTGCTGTTTTGTTTACTTGTGCTTTGGTAATATCTATCCTGATTTCATTTCTCTGTTGCATATAAGTTTACTCCATTTTTCATTTCTTTTTAAGGCTTAGAAATTTTGTTTTTGTTGAAAATTGTCTGTTTTATAATACTTCAAATGGGGTTATGGACTTGTAACCTTCACTGCAGCCTTGACGCATCTGCGGGTCCCTCCCTTTCCTCATGTTGTTTGTTTGTACATTCTTTTTGTTGGCTCAGTTTTCATCTTACTGATTCTTTTTTCGAGCACCACGTTTGGTTTTGGCTTGCTTGACTGATTGCTTTCTTTCCAGTGTTATTTTTATGAATTTTTTTCCTTCTTCACTATGCATTTACTCATCGGTTCTTTAAGAAACTAATTAGGTGCTTATTAAAACCATTGACTTCCAGTTTTTCCTTTTTTTCATTTTTCTTTCTTTTTCTTTTTTGGCTTGGGTTCTTTGGTTTTGTTTTGCTCTGTTTATTTTAGTGGAAGCATACAGGAGTGTACATTTTCTTCTGAGTACTGCTCTGGTCTTGGAGAATTTGCTTAGTGGTTGTTTTGCTTATATGTGTTCAGTTTTCTTTTTAAGATATTTCCATTATAATTTCATCATTAATCCATGAGTTATATGCATTTTTTTTCAGTTTTTGGTTCAGTGAGTTTTGAGAATCTACTTTTTTATGTTATTGATTGTCAGTGTCAGTTACAGTCAGAAGATAACATTTGTTGTATGGGTCATTGAGTTGTGTGTGTGTGTGTGTGTATCTATATCTATAGATAGATAGATAGATAGATAGATAGATAGATAGATAGATAGATAGATA